TTTTATTTTGTACAAACAAAATAAATATATTGAAAAATATAAAAATAATAAAAAATTATACTTCAGATGTTAATTTAGTATCAAAAACGTAAAATATTTGAGTAGCCAAAGACATAGCCAAAGATTGAAGCGCCACAGCACTGGCGAAAATTTAAATTTGCCGACTGGAATTCTTTCGGATGATTGACTTTCGGAAAATCGACGCTCTACTGTATAATAAATTAGTGACGTAAGATGCAAAGGCTTAATATATTGTTTCGTGATCACCAAGAATATAGTTTAGCTGTGAACAATATACGCATTATTTATTTCTTTTCTGATACAGTATAATATAAAAAACTGAAAGTAATAAGAATATATGTGTTAAAATGCAAAAAAAAAATTCAGAATAAACAAGAAAGCGATCTTCAGTATGTCTTATATACGAGCGATGTTGGATATTAAAGCAAAAGAAGTTTAGAAAAAGCATTTTTCAAAACATTTCTATTAAAATTCCCTTAAACATTATTTGGAAGATATGCGAGATCTTGTACTGTATTTTGTTTCATAAGCCTATTTACATAATTACAGCTTTATTGCTCTATCTAAATACTTTACGAACATAACTATGTACATTGTACAAAATCTTCAGGTAATGAAAACCTAGAAAATGTCAAGGTGACAACTGTAAATCATACAGATGTGCTATGTATTGTACTATAGGATCGTATAAATAATAATTTTAATAAAATTCATAAATTCTACATAAGTTTTTCATTCAAATAATCTGTTATTCCGATATTTTTAGGAAAAGTTCTAAATCGATTTTCGAAAGATGTAAATAACGTAGATGACAATTTACCTAACAATGTTCATCAATCGTTAAAAGTAAGTTTACATAATTTTGTTTACTTAAATTTGTGTAAAATGAATTTTAAATAATAAACATCTAAGCGGGCTATGCAGTTACTGTGGTGTATTTATGGATTGCATAGCCTGTGTTTTGTTACAGCAACGAGAAATTCAACAAATGAAGTATGCAGTGTATGCACTTTTTATCCTAATCACTGACAATTGATGCTTTTATTCCAGCCATTAATAGTATTTTGTATAATTTTTTCAAGAACACTATACTCGAAATTTCTAAGTTTTATCTAACCTATTGAACTACGTCATTGATATTAACTCTTTTACCGAAACAAATGCAAATTGACAGAATAAGACAGAAATATTGATGAACAAGAATCTTTTTATCTTGTCTCTGCAGTTTGACATTGGTCTAGCTTTCTTTTGAAATGAAATTGTTTCACGGTAATTTATCTCTTTTATCAACCTTCTTTTTCGTTAAATTTTACGAATTTCGGTTGGCTTTTCATTATTATTATGCAAAACTGCAATGAGTATTTTTACGTCCAATCTATGCTATGATTCAATCAGATCCTATAAATTGCAGCTAACTCTTCACGTATACAGTAAACTCATGACAGTGCTATTTTTAAATATATAGTTTTATTGTGTTTATAGAGCTTATGCATGTTTTATCCTGATTAGTGCTACATGGGCTATGAACTAGAAAAACAACTTATTAATGAGACACGTTTTGTATATATGTGTGACTGTTTGTAAAAATGGTCAAAATCACATATTTTTTACATAAAAATATTTTGATTGACAGCTGAGCCAGTTAAGTATCAAACGAAATCTCTTCATGAATTTGACATCAATTACAGAAACTTCAATAAATCTCAGGTATTTTTAGTATAGGCTGAATAAAAAAAGCTCCTTTATTGACAATAATGTGGAAACAGTCAAAAAGTAGTTTCGCTTATTAGTTCTATAAAATTTAAACTGCTTCTTTTGATCATAAAATAAAATAACTATATGCAATAAACTCCAAGCTAACTCAGATTTTGCTCAACTCAAAAACTGTTTTTTCGAAAACAGTAGTTGAAAATTTTTTTCATTAAAAACTTATAAATAATGTGCATTTTTGATATATAAAAGTACACAAAACCATTCGCTATATTATTGTTTCAGATAGAACAATAAATAATGTAAATTGCTGTATATAGATCTGTCAAAGTTTATTAGTTCTTTTCATATATAATGTCGGTTTAATAAACTTTTGTATAGTGCTTATTTTAATACAATAATATTTTTCATAACATTATGGAAAAAATATTGTCAACTGGGATACTATTCAACTCAGACAATGTTTATTCTCTGTTAGTTGAGTTTGAAACAGTCAACCCTTTTTTACTCTAGTTTTAGTTGCTTCCTCTGTATATTTTATTAGAACAATTCTCCACTTCAGTATCGATAGAATTATTCACATATATACGCAAAATATGATATACTAGCAGACCCCGCCACGCGTTATTGTGATAAAATGTATCTATGATAAATTTATAACACTTTCCCATGTAGGGAAATTTTTTGAAAAATTTCCTCTTAGTGTACATTCTCTTGACGTACCCTATTAAAACGCAATCAAAAACGCAAAAACCCGCATCTAAAATAGTATAAATAGAAGCAGAGTTTTTTACGGTAAGCTTCAATCCCGTCCATCTCCCCAGGGGGATTTCGACATGTATATTATATATTATATAAAACACGTGCGTATTCGAATGCAGCGTTGTGTCAAAATTTCAAAGAAATCGGTAGGAACAAACGAACATTACATTTTTATTTATATAAATAGATAGAAGATGATCTGCTTTAGTTCATTTTCACAGAAAAGCATAATGCCTCATAGAAATGCAAACTTAGGGCGTCGTACTCGTAGCGTCATCTGTTGGACAGAAAAGCCTTAACCCTAGATATCATTTAATTTGATTAACTCTTGATATAATCTACCCTTAACCCTTAATACAATTTAATTTATATGAATGTTTAACGGAATAATATACAGCCTATGTCCACCCTGAAGTTCAATTCTAAATATTGGTGAAATAATTTTTGAAATCGGATGGAGATTACCTGCTGCAAACAAACTTACATACAAACATTACCTCTTTATAATGTTAGTATAGATTTGTTTATTTTCTGTATACAGGAAATCAAATTGCAAGTATGTTAGCAAATATTTCCAAATATGAATTGGAGGGTAAGTAGAGACGAGTCTTATACGTCTATTCTAACAAAATCAGTGCTAATCTGGATAGCGATGAGATCGATTGTGATAAACAACAGCATTTGACTTTGCTTAATCTACCTCTCACGAACGAACAAGCATCATTCTTTATACAAAGACGTATAACATATTATTTAATAATTTTTTGAGTGTGCTGCTTATTACTGGTATAAGAGATATACACGAAGTATTTTGTTATATAATAATTATAATTACTACTCTGCGGGTTAATATTACTGTCATTGCCAATGTTTTAACGTTAAAAAACTTCTTTATATATTTACAGGTACTCTTCTCTTAGGCAGTAACAAGAATATTTCACAGGTGTAGTTTGCAGTGCTCTTTTATTATTCGGTTAATATTTACAAGCCTAAATACTGTATATACGCACGTGAAACAAAGTAAATAAATTAAAAAAAAGAAATATAATGTATCAAAATAAATCAGCGTTCAAAGTTGCTTCTTTTTCGGTTCTAAGAAAAGACATTTATACCTCAGGAAGGCCTCATATTTCGAATATAAAACTCGATGGTCACACAGAACATTCAAATTCAAAAAAAGTAAAAAATTATTTTAGCTGTCTCTCACAAACTTCAATTTGGGAAATGAATAACACTCAATAATGGTCATAATGATTGTTTTCCCGTTCTAGTGTTACTTAATTAAATAAGCTATTATATAATAAATTCAGTAATAGTGTCTTATATGTAATAGTAACTAGTTAATATTTATAGTTAATAGTCTCTTATAAGTAATTGTTGGCGAAAAAAGTTTTACATTAGCTGTAATATTTAAAGAATGATGGAGTTGTCAAGTGTTGCGATGGATTTTTATTCAAATGCTAAAAGAGATAGTTACAATGTCGTTTAATTTAATACTGATTACATATGTGCGAGATCACATGTGCGCAGAGTCAGTACCCTAATTGCCACTTAAATGTCGAGTTGGTAAACTCGCCTATTTTGTCGTTTGGATGGCTTTTTATCGAGTGGCAAGGAAGGGAAGCAAGTCGATAGGTGTTCTTTTTTATGCATAAGACAGGTGGACAAATTTAACAACTAACAAAAAAATGTTTACTCTACAACTAAACCTACGATATATATAACTAAACCTAAGATTAGATGTGGTTAAATAAGGTTACATATACACTCCTATGGAGTGGATTGACAAAAATTTTTAGTCAGCTCGCTTGCTGACCTAATGACCTAGCTCTGTCGCTACTTCCACTGAGAGAGAGAGTTTACAAGAATCTATAGATACCTCAATATCTGTTGGTCAACTTAGATGACGTTCGTTCGATCGGAGAGAGAGGAATTCGAAAGCATTGGCTATCGTATGGCGGGTCTTCTTTTTGTTGACTTGCATGGGCCGGGAAAGTCTGTTCGTGGAGATTTGTCGAACTTGGCACCTAGTCGTCGATTACTCAGAGCGCTAATTAATCTATTTACATTCCTTTGGACCGCCCGGAACTTCGGTGTCTCCATTTTTTATGCTTGGTGTCTGAGAAAATGATCATGTGATTGACTATTGACATGTCGAAAGTTTATTCCAAGCTGCGAGCATAGGTTTCTTTCGATGACGTTTAATAGCAGTTGTCCCTTTTTCACAGTCGAATGTTTTCCTTTTGCCATCTTGTTGTCAAAACTCCTCTCCGTTTGTTTAGAAAGAATGTCATCTGATCCATTCTAGGGCAATGTTTTTCTTTATAACAATCGCGTTAAGAAATTAAATTATAAAGTTGTAATTTTGCAGGAAATTCGCTCATTCCTCCGCTCAGGACTGTCAATATGCCCGAGGGCTCACATGTGAATAGCAATAATTGAAATAATTTATACTATATTTAAATGACAGATAAGTTTCTATTTATTAGCAATTTATATTTTTATATTTTAGGCATTCTTTCTGTTCGCTGGAATGTGTGTTCTTCAAGCAATCCTCTGTCCTTATGTTTTCATATTGACATTTGTCATTACAATGTTATTGTACGCTATGTGGACGATTCACAGCCGTGTGCTGAAAAGCATAAAAATTATTGAAGGAAAATGTAAGTGTATAGAATTCTTAATAGTTTATTGCATTTAACTGAATAGCATAAAATTTTTTCACTACTCATTACTTAACGTTTCTTGAATATATTTGAATGCAGTTAATTTTAATAGTAAAATAATTTATTACAGAAAACAATTACGCAGAAATTCTTCATTACTTAAGACAATCTATCAAATCATTCAATTCTTACTACACCCTCTACAGATCATATTGGCCTTTAGTTTTTCTTATAACAAACAGATAGTATAACAAACTGAGTAACATATGACGGAAGAGTTTGTCATTAATTATATTTTATTTACAAACGTATTAGATAATAACGTTTTGGCCTTGAAAATCTGTAAAAAGACAGTAAAAAAATTCGGTAAACCCCATTCAAAGATGCTTAGTTCGAGAACAAAACATTTAAACTTGTACAAAGATGTAAAGTATCTACAATTATAGTAAAGCTCGTACTTATTAGAGAACTTTATTTTAGTAAGCTGAAAATAATAGAATGATCTTTCTTATTTACAAATGTCTGTCAGAACTGTGAGTAACCTACATAGTAAAATAATTGACAAAAGTATAAGTTTGAGTCCGTTTACTTAACTGATTCAACTTTTAAAAATGCAACTTAATATAAGTATATAATTACAAATTCTTAGATTATTCCAGAGCTGTGGAGTCGGAGTTGGAGTCATCAAAAATCCTTCTGACTCCAACTCCTTTATATTTTCCGAACTTTTTATGTATATAAAAAACGAAAAATTATTTAAATCGTGACCCACCAAGCTTTTTGCAAATTTATACACTTGGAAACCTTTCGAACCCAAATAATGTCAAATAAAAAGAAAAATTCGCGCACGTATGTTCGTGTCTAATTTGTTTAATTTCTTTATTCTGTTTTGAAATATTAAACAATATCCCAGAACGAGTAAAGTTTAAAAAACAGAATTTGGCACAGTAGCATATGTATAACGGTCATTAATGCTATTAAATTTTGGTTCTTAATTAAAAGTTGACAGGGTAGAGACATAGAAGGGATCATGCGTCATATCTCTAGTGTGGTCGGACCGAATGAATATATTACTCGTTATTAGCAGTCACAATCTTATAATATAATCGAGATGGGTTAATAGTTATAATAATAATATGATCAGAGTTCAAACGGTTAGGATTTGAAAGTTGAAATTTGATAAACAGTTAGGATACATCATAAGAATGTACACTAAGAAGGGATTTTTCGAAATTACTCTCGCGGGGAGCGAGAGAAAGTTAAGGATAACCATGAATAACTCAGTTTCTACTGTACTATTTTTATGCGATTCCTTGCATTTTCGAAAAATCGAAGATACTTTTAGACCCATCTAAAAATTTTCTAATTTGTCTCGGAAGAGGTGGGACCTAATTCTTGCACCCAAAATGGGTAAGATTAGCTATAATCTAATAATTTTAATGTTCGTTATCGTTATTATTGTTACTTTTTGCCCGAGAAAAATTTGAAAATTATATTTACTATGCACTGGAAAAAATAAATCACATTGACCACTCTTCAAGTTTGATGTTAAAACCGGAATACTGCACTAACCAGACATTATGCAAAATACAGCATTGATTGTCACGCCATTTTCACCTAGCAAGTTTCAGTAGAGCGTTAATTTTCCGCTCTAAAAATTATTAAATATGATTTAAGAGATTCTGTGAATGCTGACTTAATTAAAGTGATATTTTTTGGAAGGAGTAATTCAGTTTATAACAGAAATGAAAAATAATAAATTAATCAACATGGCAAAATAAGCAACCTTAGTTTTAAAAGTGTTCACTACAAGAGAGAAGTATGTGAGATTTGTGTAAAAGTTCTAACAGAAAAGCAGATATTCTGGTATAGTTAGTTATTCCATTAACCCGTTATTATTTTGCGTACGGCAAAATCGGTTCTAATGACTTTTTAACCATAAGTGTCGAAATTGGAATTTTTCGAAAATTCAATAAAATTTTTATTTGCCTAACATTACATATATTTCAATATGCTTGCTACACATTCTGCACAAGTTTGTTCAGTTTTGTTTGTAATAAATATTGCTAGATCGGAAATATACCGCGAATCAACTACAACTTGAAATTCTTAAACTTTCACTCAATGCTGTTCAGTGTACGATTTGCAACATTATTATTCTGAAATCGTTTGTTTAAAGAGAAAGTACCCCAATACAGTGGAACCCCGGTTAACGAACTTAATCCGTTCCGCGACTCCGTTCGTTAACTGAATTGTTCGTTAACCGAAGCAATTTTTCCCATAGAAATTAATGTAAATGCAATTAATCCGTTCTAGTCTCCGAAATTTTTGTAATTTTATTTGTAATATTCAGCAGATTTCCTTTGATGAAAATGTAGGAGAACGTAGTATCTATCATTACAGCAACAAACAGGTAAACTTTGTTTAATAAAATAGCACTGTACGTACATACCTTCGTTTGTTGTAGTTGGTGGCAGAAAAGTGAAGATATACGAACCTTAATGCTTAGAAGGGGAATCTCCTCCAAAAAATAACGGGTAGCACTTCATTGGAAAATTCTTCGAGTCGAAGTCTCTCTCAGTAAGAAAGCCCACCAGTGGCTAAGCGGTATTCGTACCCTGAACACGGAGAATTCGTTCTTGAGCTCTCACCTCGCTCAAACGGGCTGGCCACGTGGAGTTTTCCGAGTTTTCTCCACGTCTGTAACGCCTAAATAGGGGTCAGTTTCCCTTAAAAACACCTCCCAGAAGGCATTCTCCCTAGACAGATCGCCGAAGTGTTGCGTTGCCATAACTTAACAAAACAAACAAACTTTGCGTAAGGAACAAGAAATTGATCTAAAGTTGATTGTCTTACTCTTTTAATCAAAATTTTTCTCAAATGCGATAGCGCATTGTCGTTAATATTGCGTTGTCGTTTTCTATTGCCACTATGACTTTTTTTTTTCTTGGATGCCATATTGATTAAATATATAAATCACAAAACTGGAAAAAAGAAGTATAGCACAAACACTCGGAAAAGCAATACTTAACTCGCGCATGCCTAACACCAACTAAAATTTGACACAAAATACCGTTACGTTCGTTATCCGAATTTTGTTCGTTAACTGAGACAAAATTTTTGCAAAATAAGGGTTCGTTAACCGATTTGGTCGTTAACCAGGACGTTCGTTAACCGGGGTTCCACTGTACTTGTAGAAGACGTCACTCCACAACGTTAGTTGGTTAATGCTGTTCTTAATACCATACCACGTCTCTGAAAAGAATTGCATTATTGCAGGAAGAAACAGACAATCGGATATCGAACATCATGTGAAATTTTTCTTATTTGTTAGATAAGAATATTTTTTATTAAACAACAACTCTGGAGCACGATGGAACAGACTTGTTGTTGACATCTTTGATCACAAAGATAGTCTTCACGTGGATCAAGATTTTAGTCAATACAGTGTGCGAGATAAAGTGTAAGGCAAACTGCGTGCAGAGTAAGTTGAACAAAAACGCTCTAGCAGCTAAAATGCTGCGAAAGCAATTTTAATCATAAATGTACTTTTTATTGACAGAGCTCATAATCAAAGTTCAAATTATAATGAGCAATTGCTGTGCTACATGTTCATACAGAAAGCATATAGATAATTTATTGCATATTTTCTTTGCAAAAAATTTAATAGTAACTTAAAAGCTTACTTAGCTTTGTGTTTGGTATCAAATAAGTTTAAGAATACCTCTTTTGTTTTTCAATTGCATTTTTTACATAAAGACAACAATGTTTTGTTTGTGTTATGTTACATGCAATTTTACTTAGCAGCTACTGGAACATATAAATACAACATGCAAATATTTATATTTAATAAAGTTTTGCTCAAATAATAAAATTTTTTTAACAGCAAGAAGTCCCGTATTTTCTCATCTCAGTGTATCTCTGTATGGACTAACAACAATTAGAGCATTTAACGCTGAAAATAAATTTATTTCCACTTTTAATGAATATCAGGATAATCACACTGCAACGTGGATCATTTACATTTCACTAAATCGATGCCTTTCTATATATGGTAACATCGTTTGTTACATAAATTTACTTATTACTGTTATTATTTTCAGTATATCAATTCATCCAGGTGAGTAAATAGATTTATTTAGCTGTGTATAGTGTATAATATATGTAATTCTGAATTTACAATTGCAACTTTAGATGATGCAGGAAGCCAAATCGGACTTGTTATGAGTTATGCACTATTATTTGTTATGCTTTTTCAAACTACTATTAGGTATATTTCTGAAGTGGATTTTCAGGTAATACATGAGTAGTATACTAGTGAGAGTTGTACCCCACAAAATTTAAGGCTTGTAAAATTAAATGAATTTAATCAAATCAGAAGTATAATTATTTGAATTTAATCAAAATAAAAAAGTAGGAATCAATGAATTTCAATGGTGTTTAAATCCAGTTATTCCTACTTTTATTTATTTTAAGTTATTAAATTTAATCAAATTCAGTAAAAAAGTCAAACTAACTCAATAATATGAGCTTTATAGTTATTCCCACAATCTCTCATACCCCTGTATACAAATTTTAAATCTTTCATATCATCTAAATCTTCATCCTTTAAGTTTTTATTAAATCGATCAGGAAGAAAAACTTAAAATTCATTCAATTCTCTAGAACTACTAATTTTTTTTATCACCAAGGCGAGTGGATACTGTTTTAATATAATCAATTGGATATTCATAATCAATTTCCAACTCGTTTAGTTTCTTTGTTGGAATATTTTGAAGTTTACCGATATTGTTTAGTTTTTTCAGTGTCTCCATTTATATAAGAAAAAATTTAACTATCTATCAATATGTAAAACTTTAACTTGTGGTGTACAGTACATAAAAATCTACCATGACATGTATCAACATAATCAAAGTTATATAAATGTTCATATCCATCCTACCAAATATAATAAAATCTTTTCTCCCCACCATAGTGAATTAATACTAACTCAAGATTACTAATATCAATCTCATTTATATTAGATTATTTATTACAAATTCTTGCTAGCAATGAAAAAAGTATATTTTTATAATTATTTTCAATAAATTCGTTGGAGAATCTTTTCTTTAAAATAACATCACACCAATCAATTTGGTTTTTATGTTTTATAATAAAATTTTCGGATAATTCTTGATATTTAACAACTATTTTCCAGTCTAATACATTTAATTGTTCTAAGTCTTCGAGTAATTGTTCCGATATGGTTTGATATCTTAAAAGTGAATTTAAATTATATTTTAAAACATTTTTTCTAATAAAGTCATTATCTAATTTTTGAAATCGAGATATAGCATCCCAGTTCACTTTATTTGCATATTCTCGAATAAATTCCGAAGATAATGTTTGATGTGTAGAGATGAGTTTCCAATTAACCTTATCCTCATGTTGTCTTATAAAATTTTCAGAGACTTTGATGTTCTGATATTTTTTTCTTGTTAACTCTATCTTTAAATTCATTAATAAAAAAATTCAGACAATTTTTGATTGTGAGATATTGAATCCTAATTAACCCTATCTTTAAATTTTCTTATAAAACGTTCAGATAACTTTTGAAATATTGAAATCAAATCCCAGTTAACTTCATCTGTAAATTCTCTTATTAAATCTTCTGGTAAATTCTTTCGTTTTGAAAAATTATCCCAATTGATAGCTCTCTTTATTCTTGAGTCCATTTATATAAGAAAAATTTATGTCCCAATGCTAATGTGTTAATTCTATCCTCCAATATATATCTCTTATCATCATGTGGTGATAACGCCTTCTTGTTTACTTTTATTGAATAAAGTTCATGTTTCTTGCTTCTAATTAGATTCATTGTTCGGGAATGCTCTGTTTTATTAAACAAACACTCTTTATAATCATCAAATGATATTTTATTTTTAACAACACATTTCTTTACTGCTTTTGATTTCATTGAAACCTGATCTTCTACTTTTAAGGCATACATTTTTGCTCTTAAACCAACAAATTCTCTCATTTTCCCATTATTTTCATCCTTCATTTTACCTAACACCTTCTTATTAACTGTTGGTATACCATATTGATTATTCTCAGGATAATCGGATGTATCAAAGTAATCGATCTTTTCCTCCATGTCTTGATAAATGTCACCTGTTTTTATATAATATATATAACTATCCGTATTTTGATATAACAAATTTATGTTATATGTGTATTTAGGTTTCATCACATTATAATGAAAATCATTCATCAAATGCTTCGAAAGATCTAATATGCTCATTCCCACATAGATGGGTTTATTAAAGACTATTTTTTTCTTATACATGTAAATAGCACATAGGTTTTCATTGAATATGGTTCGATGTTTAAAGTTCGGCTTAGCGATTAATTTTTCTACTTTTTTTGCGTCACAACATAGTCTAATGTCAACACGATTTCTTATATTTTCCATTGTCTTACCAAACACAGAGTTGTTCATTAGTTTAATAAAGTCCTTTTCGAAATCATTAGTTGCTTTAGTTTTCATTTCTGTATTCAAATCTATGTATTTCTTTAACCAATCTGATTGTTTGAATTCTAATACTCTATGTATCTTTTTAAGTTTCATCCCCATTTTTAAATATTGTTTAAGTTTTCTATAATGAAGCACATACTTCTTTTTATCATATAAAGTGGTTAATAATTTAGATTGTTTTCATCCATCTGGTATTCTGTTCTCTGGAGCTAAAGGTAGATCAGAATGATAATCATGTAATTGTTTAGGATATTCCAAATCAACTTCTAATATATATCCTTTTTCATTGACATCAGGAATATTCATGAAGAAATCAATATTATTTTCCTCACACCATTCAAATCCTCCACAAGGTAAATATTGACTCATGGCCCATACATATAAGTTATTAGCATCTAGATACATCAAATAATTAGATTTCTTGTTTTTATCATAATCTTTCATATACTTGTTATTTGCCTTTCCATAACTCTTACAACATTGGGAGATTCCACCTTTTATTCCTTTTTTTATCGTTAAAATCATATCATAATCAACAACACTAAATTTACACCTGCCATCTTCAACATTGCATCCCATGATAATCCAGGTGCTGTGAAGTACCATGCCGGGTCTAATTTATAAGTTTTCATGCATACATCTCTAAAATTCTCAAAGATGTCTGCTAGTAGCAAAACATCTGTTTTCACATATAGATATGAATATTCACCCATATTCCTAATCTTAAATGCTTCCCATAAATTTTGTGCATGTTCATAATCTTTATCCGTTATACCACATTCATTTAATATACTATAAAACTCTTGTTTTGGAGGAAGTTTATCCATTTCACATTTCTCCCACGAATCCATATAGTTATAAAGATATACACCTTTTCTTATAACTAAATCTAATAGATGATTAGGAAAAAACATAGATGTTTCTCTAAACTGATGTTTTTTTCAAATTACTAGAGAGTTTATCAATACTACTTGCCATAAATTTAAATGAATCTATAAACCTAAGTTTCATTTTTCCAATTTTCTTAGTAAATGACATATATCTATCCTCATTGTTCGGTATCAAACTAATTGGCTCTGTATCATATTCAAGTTCTTTGACAAATAAATGAGCATCATATCCGGTTAGGTTATGAATGAATACTGGTATAAAGTTAAGATTTTGATATTTTAAATTACATAGATTATGAGCTGGTTCTCTGTATTTACCTGTCAAATGATCATAATCTGCAACTTTATCTCCTTTTTCCTCCCCTTGTATTATTTGAGTATATATCTCCTTATCACATATATGGCAGATATTAGTATTTTTAAAATGTTCATCTTTTGCAGTCATATTTATTGTTTTAATGTCTTTATATATTTTACTAATTTCTTTAACTTCGTTTTTTAGCATCTCTACAAACTTTTTTACTGCATCTGGCCCTCTGTATACAACTAGTTCCTTATATTCTCCATGTACTGTACATACTTTATGTAATAAAAAACTCATTGGTTCATGATTTCGTTGTAAAACACTTAGATGGATCTGGTTGACATGACTCTATTTTCTGAGTTAGACATTCAAAATCAGCATATATCACAAATGGAATCCTCAATGATTTTTTAAAGTTTTCAAAGAAAATATTTCCTCCACTCATTTCAATCTTCTCCATCTTTCTTACTTTACAATCAGTTTCATGATTCGTTAATTGTTTTGCTGAATTGTAGTATGTTAGTCATCTTTCATATATATATCTTTCCATGATGATTCGTTACTTGTGAACTTATTAACCTAGATAGACTGTTAATCAAACAGTAATGTGATTTTTCTTCATTTTTTAAATATAACAAATTTACATGCCCATCTACTTTTTCTTTTGTTATTCTTAGAGGATATATTTCATACTGCTTTTCTTTTTTTATTTTCAGACCGCTTTTCTGTTTCTTTTTCAGTTTTTAGAGACTGCCCATTAAAAGAATAAACATTCACTGATATATTTAATCTTTTTTCACATTTACCTATATCTTGTAAAGAGATAGGTGATTCAATTCCTTTGAGTGCTTCTTTAATTTTTTCAATGTTGTAATTGCTAACTCGACCTGGATTGTGATTTGTACTACCTACTGGATTTAAATATGCAGTGATGCAATAAGCAAAACATTCTTGATCTTCATTCTTATTATTCAATATAGCTTTCTTGTCTTTGATTTGTTTTGGTAATTCAATGTAGGATGATCTTCTGAATTCTGAATATTTATTGATTCTTAACTCTAAATTATATATTTCTATTAATGACCATCCAGATCCTTTAGCTTCAAAGTCATCCATCTCTCTTAATAGTTTATCAATCACTTTATCATAAAAAGTATTCAAATCTTTTGTTTTTAAAATTACCTCATTCTTAGTTTTAAATGAAAAGCCCATTTTCTCATTTCCTCTTTGATACTCACAGAAAAATTTGAAATTACTTTCAAGTCCATTTCTTTCAGTATCTCTGCTATCTTTCTAATAACTATCTTTCTCACATTTAAAAATCTTTCTCACATTTAAAAATTCTCTTGGTATGATATGATTCGTCATGTTCCTAATCTAATACGTTTTTAATCTTGATTTGAATGCTGACTCAATCTCTTGGATAGCTTCGCCATTGTATAAAGCATTCTGATGTTCTCTCTTTTCAATATGAAAATTCTTAAAGGTTGGTTTATAGTAATGTTTACAGATATCACATTTCATTTGCTTTTATTTTCCTTTTCTTGGTTTTGAAAAAATATCTTCATGAAAGTTACTAATTAT